CAAAGCCCTTTCTTAAAAAGTAAAGTTTTTCTCTTTCTGTCACAACAGTAGACCAGACATGAATGTGTTAGTTTTGAGAATTATGATGTGGAAAAAACAGTATCTAATCTGTAGTAACAGATCAGATTTGAGACTCTGGCAAATGGCAAAGAGCAAAATCTTTATTTCAGTCGTTTGCAAACGGAGAACACACAGTAACCACAGCACAACAGCTGCACCTACAATGAGTTCTGATTTGGAGCTGCAAGCTCTCACAATATATAGGACTCTCTGTACAATGTGGTCACTCCCTGGCCCAGAGCCAAACAGGTTAATGCACCGTCACTCTTAACAGGGTATAGAGAGAATGCAACATCCATTAAGTTAATTGTTCAGATGATAAAGATCTTTATTCAAAAATAGGTGCATGTCCAAAAATCAGGTTTCCTAATGGAACAATTTTGCTTAACAAGAACATCATCAGACTTTGTACGTTCACTCAGCACGTAGCCTTAGCTTGTGACATTTTAATGGAGGAATTTGTTAAGCCTTAGGGTTTATTCCATCTCACTACAATTACCTAACCTGTTTATTGTTATCTGTTAAGAAACACTGGCACCTGATTTTAGTTACTGACAACAACCTACTGAACCTTTTCCAAGGAGAGGTCCAAAGGAAACCTATCTAACTGATTCTTTAAAGACTCCTTGACCTACATGGTTTAACAGACTAAACAATACTAGTGTTAAATGACTAAAGAAATAAATACAATTCTTAAAAGAAATAATAACACAATTTTTACTTCACAATGACCAATGATCATAGGGGGACTTTATGAATGTAAGGAGAAAGGAAACGTGATTTCAAATTGATTTTACCAATTACTTTTCTGAGTAATTGGTAATTGACTCTCCTTGTCAGTTTAAGTGCCATTAGATGATTTCTACAGCTGGTTGTACTAGATTTTATTTAGGAGTATCTAACTAAAATGGGCTCAGTACAAGGACGCTTTTCAGGTTTATTTGTAAGAGATGTTGAAAACATCATTTCATTTTCTTCAACCTTCACACTTATGTGTTACTTTTTGTTTATCTGTTGTATGAAATTCCAATAAATTACAGTGAAATGTGTGGTTTTATAAGATAACCAGATATGGAAAAACTTCAGTAGGTATGAATACTTTGGCATAAGTGTGAGCATGAACAAGAACTAAGGCCCCAGTTCCGACTTTGAGTTCGGAAATGCATCCTCAAACCTGGTACGCTGTGTTACGCATTAGCGATACAAGCGTGTCAAAGAGAGACTACATCAAAGATGAAGCTGAGAATAAAACCACATCCTGCGGTGGCCTTAATCCTTCAACACCTGCGATTTGAAGCACGCTCCTTTGATGTTGCTGGTTCAGCTGGAGAGAGAAAGAGACTTGATAGGCAGAGAGAGAAATGGGTCAATAATGGGCTCTCATTTAACACAGGGATGAACTCAAAGCAAGTCAAAAATCACAGACTGGTTCTGATAGGACATGAACCCTCCGCAGAGATGTGCATTCTGCAATATTTACTGCTCCACGTTGTTGATGGAGTAGCACCAAATGAGCATCAGGGGAGGTCTGGAGGAAGTAAGTGTGCACAATTTCAAAGCCAGAAGCATTTGCCTGAGAGCTCTGCTCATTTTTCCTGAACACATCGTTTACATGAGGCACAACTCTTTAGAGCAGATACTCCAGACAAACATCTCTGCTGTTCCTCATCTGGCAGAAAGGTCATTCAAAAATGTTACTTAGCTAATGTTATTTCTTTTTGGTGTGATGTACAGTACTGTGTATATGTAATATAATATGTATTTAGATTTTTTTCCCACTAAATTTTACAAGTAAGATTTGAACTGAAGCTACATAAAATTCTTAGGTTTCAATAAACTAAAACTTCTATGATTTCTTTCAAAATTTTACAGATTTCACAATTATTTAACACAAAAAATAACTAAAATAGGACCCAAAAATGAAAAACTATATAAAGTTTTCTAGCTGCACTAATAACTGGGCAGAAATGGCAGCGTTCTCAAGTAATCGAGAGCAACACACAATGAAACAATATCCCTGGAACAGAACTGAGATGCCTGAGCCAATGGCAGCCAGCTCTGTCACCGCGGGGCATTTCCTCTGTCCAGCAGGACCGAACTTGAAAGGACAAAATAAGCACAAGAGGCAACAAAGGAGAAAAAAGGGGACATGTCCTACAGTTGAGAACTCGTGAATAATTTCTGGGCAACAAAAGACACTGGAAACACTGGAAAAGCTAGAATGACAGAAAAAAAAAAAGCGAGAGATGCCCAGTGGCATCATAAATGTTTGATCGGGAGTGCAGCAAATTAATGAATCTTCTTCATGATGATTTTTAATAAGCCACACATCAAGGATCACAGCACAGGCGTTTAGTTTATTAGTTTATAGGTGTATAATAGAGGACAATCAAGATGAATATTAAAACAGATGGATGTTGTAGAATAATCAATAGAATTTTTTTTCTTCAAACTTATCTGAATACCTAAAATACATCAAATATCCACCATTTCACTGTTTGGAGAAATAAGAAATCTTTTTTTTTTTTTTTTACTCAGCAAAAGCCTTTTAAAAGACCAAAAACAGAAAAAAAGACATCATTACAAGTTACAAGTTAATAAAAATCCCTGATATGAAGTAAAATGCATCACAGGCCAATCTTACATCGATGCACTGATTAATTTATTGACCAGTTTCAAGAGCGTATGTACAACTTTAAAGGCTGCACAGGATTGTGTGTGTGTGTGTGTGTGTGTGTGTGTGTGTGTGTGTGTGTGTGTGTGTGTGTGTGTGTGTGTGTGTTTTAACAAATTGAATTACCTACACAGAAATATCCTCAGTATTTTGCCAAAACCCTGTGACAGGGAAGGCAGTCGCAATTGTCCTATTAGAGCAATAAATGCTTCATCCATTGATAGGAGCAACTGTGACCCAGATTAAACCTCTGTGCTGCACCACCAGCTCGTCCCTCTCCTCTTTGATCAGAAACCGCCCTGTTGGAGGGTGAGACATGAGAATCTGGGTGCGGCTTCACTGTTGTCATGGAAGCAGAGTTTTCGCCGAGTGTGGTGTTGAAAATCTCAGGCACTGATATTTTGCAGGCATCAAGCAAAAACACAGCAAAGAAGAACACAGTGATCTACAGATTTCGGCAGATTCTTTGTCTTTGTGCATTTATGTCATCTAGAATTACAGTGGATAAATTTGTGATATCCTCTCCATCCAGCCAAAGTTCAGACAAACAGCCTGCCAGCCTCTCACAGCCTAGTTATAAGGCAGTGGTGCCGATTAAATAGACAGGATTCTTGTGAAATGACATACTTGCACATTATTGTCAAAATCTTTTGTGGGTGCAGTTATTTTAATTCAGTCAACCCCTGACCTTAATTCAGTGTTGCTGATGATTACACACGTCTTTTTAATATGTGAAATAGGTTTACATAATCAAGTACAATACAAGTTAAGCAAACAAAAACAAAGAATTAACCTAAAACAATAATGGTAATGTTGATTAAAAGAGACCTTTGTTTGTCCTGACCCCACTGGTTGCATTTTTCTCATTAGTCTCTCTGCTGTACTTTTGTTTTATCATAATGTTTAGCCCATTTTATGGTGGTCTGTAGTTTTTCCTGGATTTTTCATTTTTTCTTTTATTTTACGTAAACAAAACTTTAGCTTAGTTTCCCATCTGTCTCTTATCAGCTCGCTTACCTGTGCTCAGCTCCTCGAGCTGCTACCCAATAACATTATACGTTCAGAAAATTATCTATTCTGTTGCTAGTGGACAGCAAACTAAAGGCTTCAGTGCGTTCAAAATGTTGTAGAAACAACATTATTCCTTGAAACCCTTACAGGATGGCACATCTCCTAAATAACATCTGTGTTTTTAAATGTTCAAGCCTTAATATAGTTAATGCAGCATTAGGGAGATTGCTGAATTAATCTTCTTTCCATCTTTAATAATTCATTGCCATTAATGTGAAAAAACACTCACAAAAGCCTTGTGCAAAGCTGGTTGGTGAACTAAGACGTGCATTGCGAACAGCGCCATCTCGCGACGAAAATCTGCTACTAACACAAAAGAAAAAAATAAATAAAAAAGAAACAAAAAACTCAATAAAAAGATGAGAACCATGCTGTGACCGTACCAAAAAGGCACTCTCAGCAGTTTCTAAAATCAAAACAATCAAATTAACCATTTGGTGCTTAACAGTGTTATTAAAGTAATAAAGAAACAAAGAGACCATTTGGAAAAACATAAAAGGTTTAAATCTTATTCAAGACATTTGTAAGTGACACATTTCCAGTTTTCAGAAAAATTGGTATGAGGTAGTATAATACTTCTTTAAAAAGCATTCAGATTTGTGCTGACGCATTTTTTTTTTTAATCTCACTATGCACATTCAAGAATAATGCTTGAGGAAATAATGAACCCTGGGATAATTATTCCATTATGGTGTTATGATTTTTATAGAAAATGCTATAGGGTTCTGGGAAATTTTTTTACAAAAGAACCCAACTAACCCACTTTCCTCTATCAACTAGGACAAAGACCTGGGTGTGCTTTGTTTTCTCTCTCCTTTAATTTTGTGACATATTTTCTCTTATTTGGTTGATTAAACTTTCTGTTCTATTTGTTTCATATTTATTCTGTTATTCTGGTTAGTTGTCTATAATGATTAATGTTTTGATATGTCTGTAAATATAAAACCATTCAACTCTATGCTCTTGATTCTCCTTCAAAGCGGCCTTTGAGTGGACCAAGTGGCTCAAATATTTGTACATTTGAGGCAAATTATAATGACGATTTTAAAAAATAAAATAACATGTTTGTCATTTTTGTCGATCAATCTTTTCACGTCATAACAGAAAACTCATATGCGCATCATATATTTTATAGCAAGCCGCCGTTGAAGGTCGTCTCACAAGGGACATTTCCGAGCTCTTCCCGAGGCACCTGAACGCAACACTGTTCAGCGCCGAACCGCGGTTAGCTTGATGCTAGCGCTCGGTTATCGTTGGATACTATATCTGAATCAAAACATTAAAGAATGAAGACAGGCGCTGCAAACTGACCACAGCTTCAACACTACACGAGAAACCCTCCACTTCCCCCTTTTTTTTCTTTTTTCAGGATTTATCTTTAGAGGAAGAGAAGCCATGTTTAGCTCTAAGACCGCCTGGTTTTCGAGCAGCGTGCCGCAAGATCGCCTCGACTTTTGGAGTAAGTTTAACGCTTTCCCGCCTCATCCGAGCCTCATATGTGAACGTCTTTAGCTTGGCGTTTATATTAACTGGGAAAATGGGGCATCTAAAAGTGGAATAGGGGTTATTTATTTCCGTTTCCAAATTATTTCTGAAACATTTTCTTTCTCATCATTTTAAAATCCAACATTAAAATTGACGTTTTTGTCCGATTGGAATGTGCGGTTGTCAATGGAGTTTGTTTACTTTTGAAATGATTGCATGACAACAACAGCGGTTATAACATCCATAATATACAATATTAAACAGGGGAAAAAGGAGCATTTCAACATTAATCTGAACACGAATAAAAAATATAAAAAATACCCTCTGAAATACAAGCTGTTAGCATGTTTTACACAAGTGTATTTTGAATAGTAATTGGGGAAAAAAAAAGATAATAGAAGAATTACAAATCAATGTCTTCCACTTCACTGTTCTGGTTTAATCCGGAAAGGCATCATGACAAAGGCTATAAGTCAAACTCCACTCTGTCCTGTCCTGTGAAGACATTGAGCTGCTCTGATGGCCTGGACAACTTCTTCACCTCCTTCAGGATTCACAGGCTGAAGTCAGGCTTCGCCCATCAACACCAGCTCAACACCAGCTCAACTGCTGGAAAGTGACACCGTTGCTTCAGTGACAAGAAGCAGCAGCAGCCCTGGACATGCAGGCAGGACAGGTGCTGAAGACATGAAGTCACCTGTTATCATTTTAAAGCTGAAAAATGATGAATGGAAGGTTTTGACTGTTTCCCATCGTACCTCTACATAGTGGACACTAAAACAGTCCTGCATACAGACTCGACACAGAGACATCTAACCAATCTGACTAACGCGACTTTTAAATAACACACACACACACAAAAAAAAAAAAAACTGACAATCACAGATCTCCCACCTTGAAGTCAGGAATTCTTTGTGTTTGTCCAGGTCTGCTTCATGCATTTCATCCATCAATATTGCTAACGCCATGATAAAGTTGTGGATGGAATTAACATTCAACAAGTGTTAGTCTTTAGTTGCATTAGCTGAATCCTAAGAGATAATTATGATGAAGAACAAATCTGTTGCCTTACTCTTTTCAAAGTGTAAAGAAAAATACAACAGGTTGAAGTCGTGTGATCGACCAGCTGATATGAACCTCAGACTCTTCAAATATAATTAAAATAGCTCAACTAAACTTCTATAAAGCTCAGAACGGTTAAAATCTTCTTTTTTTGGGGGGAAGAGTACAATTAAGAATATTATGTTGAAATGATATTGCAATTACATGACTGGTCGAAGGCTCCAAGGTTATTATCTCTGAATAATAAGCCTTCAGCATCATTTATCAAAATGGGAAAACCCTTCTGCACAATTTCCATCCAAGATGTGGCGTTCATCTCTATACGCATTCCTGTCCAAAACCTAGACTGACGAACTCTTAAGAAGGAATACATATAGTTGATGGAATATTTAGTCTGGTCAGGCTGCAACTTATTTTATGGCTGGATCTACAGTGTGTGGGTTAACGGTTGAAAATTATGGCTGACTCTTTAAATCTTCTTGCAGTGGCGGAAGGTGGGACCATCATAGATTGGGGGCAGGCAGACTACCTCTTCAGCGCAGATGCAGCATGTCCCGACACGCTGAGGTGAGTAAGAAGACAAATGCAAGCTATTGTCCTGGGCATCTATTTGTAAATTTCCACAGTTGTGTTAAAGCTGGAATTTGTTTTTTCAGGGTATTTGAGAGCAACGATTACATATCGAACAAGGTCACTGTTTTCCACAGCTTATTCCTGTCCACCTGTGAAAAGCGGCAAAGTGTGAAATCAGTGTGCATCGGCCATTATGTGCTGTCTCCAGCTTCTGTGCAGGATGGTGACACATTGTTTCTCTTCTGTTTTTTTAACATGGAAGAACCTAGTGTTTGCTGTAAAAGTCATAAGTAGCTAGTTTCAATCATATCCAAAGGGCTAAACATTTTATTTACAACTCATTGTGTTTCTTTTGTGATTCAAGAGGTGAGAGACGTGGTCGGTAGGTTGATTTGGGAACATGAGGACGAAGAAACCGTTGCACAGGTAACAAAACCGGCAAGCAGAATTAAAAAGGCGCAGATCATGTTGGAAGTAGGTCATCTGGGTTCTCCCCCTTGTTTCACAGGACGAGCAAAAGTCTTCGTGCCTACCAGACGCCCCTCACAGTGAGCAAAATGCAAGAGAAAGCATGTAAGTTTAACATTTTGATTTGAATGAAATTGTGATTTGACAATTTTTGACCTTTAACTGGCAAAATAAGTCGACTTCTCTCTGCTCTGTTGACAGATCTGAGGAATCAGACATAGACTCGTCAGAGAGTGAAGCTCACCTATGTGAACCTTTAAGAAGCCCAGCTAGTTTTGTGGCCCCGGGTAAACTGCTTAACTTGAGGAGAGACTACTCTGTCCTCACCGGTTACATCAGCATAGAGAACCTTCCGAGATATTCTGGTGATCTGCATGATGTGCATCCTGGGGTTTTCAGATGCTCGAAATGTAAAGCCTGCCTTTGTTTGGGGAAAAAGTATGCCAAGGCACACTAAGAAAGGGAGAGAAAAATAATAATAATTACAGAAACAATGACAGTCTCATTTTGTATTTCTGGTATACAATCGCATCAATTTATGTTGATTTCAGATTGTAACGTGAAGGCTGCCACATAATTTGTACCTCTGGTTTCTCAATGACAGAGTTGATGCAAATATATTTGTTTTTTCTGTATTTGGAATAAAATGTGGAACACTGTAGTGTTACTGCACACCAACGTATATCCTGCAAGTATTTGCTTAAAATCTGCTTATAGTTTATGTTTTTATGTTTCCTTCAAATGTTTAGCTGAAACCCTGAGATTTAATGTAAACTCTAACTTAATGGTGATACCAAATACTACATTGTCAAACATCGCATGACAACGTTTGCATTTGCACAAAGAGCAGAGGTGGGTGCTTTTCATTTCTACTTGAATACTATTATTTGTAAGTACTGCTACTCTTATTTGCTTAACATGTCTGGATCCTCTTCCCACGTTTAATAGCTTCACAAAATGAACAAACATAGTTTGACCAAAAAACACACCAGACACACCACTGTATGTGACAGCAGGGATAGTTGTTTGTGAACAAGCTTTATGCTCATTTTCTTATCTCCTGAGCCTGTTGTACCATTTGGAGGTAAAAGAAAGACACCGCAAAAAGTATGCAGTCACTAGAATCCTGTCCTAACAATACACACACTGTCTACTGTGAGAAGTCTAATTCTTTAGCCTCAATTTGTTATTTTGCGGTTATTATCTGTTTGATGACGTTTCCAAATTTGAATTCGGATGCTAAGAATAGTGTAGCCTTTTCTACAGAATACTCTCTTTTTAGTTTTGGTAATTTCTTGGAGTAGTGAGTCGTAATTAAGGAAAACGTTTCCTCACCTCGGACTAACAAACATTTGAACCATCTTAATTCAGCTCTGCTGGCACGCGCGAGCCCTATGGCTGCGTTCTGAGCAACGGGGTATTAATAAGGAACGGATATTGTAAACTTTTAAGGCGTTATAGTTATTGTAAAACGAATAAAGAAATGAGCCCATATTTTAATATCTAGACAGGGGGTAAAGGTGAGTATCAAAAACAAACAAAAATATCGTGTTAATTTATTTCCTGCTGATGGACTGGAGCTTCATGATTTGAGGTGAAGGGGTGCTGACGTAGATAGCTTGTGATATAACATCGCTTTCATGGCATTAATTTAGTTAACCACTAATGCTAATGTATTTATGCAAAATCTTTACACATGTTTTAACATGTGAAATATTTTAAGATATGTCTTGGTAGCGACTACCTCGTCCACCCCTCCCCCCTGTTCCCGTGCCAATGGTTCATTCCAAGGATTTTCGACCAATCCAGTGCTTTGTTATGGTTCCTGCCCGCTTCCAGTTGCCTGATCCGTTTGTACCGTGACTCTGGCGAGCAGAGCACAGGTCGCACGGTTTTTTGGACTCTGGGGTTCTTCTTTTTTCCGCCCTCCCCGTCTATCATGACTGAGGAAAATTTATCCGTGGTGTTGTATGCTAAGGGAGACCTCAGGATTGTAAGAAACCAAACACAAACTTTCATCCAAAAAACAAACAAACAAACAAAAACGTTGCAGTTACAAATTGTGCTAAAATAAATGACAGATTGTTGTGTCTTTAACAGGAAAACCGTCCGATTCCCGAGCCAGGACCTAAAGGTAAACAACAGCACATGCTCTGCACTTTTGCCATTATTACACGTATTTATGTGTGATAAGCAGTGAATTGATCCAATGCAATAGTCAAGATAATGTGGAATAATACAATCCCCGAATAGCTGGATTTACTATGGACATATTTTGAGCTGCTTAATCACAGATCTTTGAAATTGTGTCAAGGTTTGATGTAATAAATTCCTGCTTCATAAGTTGAAGCAGGAATTTTGAATTCCTGCTTCATAAGTTGAAGCAGGAATTCAAAAAAAACAATATCGATAAGTCAAAAATAGATTTAAAGCCACTAAGAGATCTGGTATCAAATTAGGCAGAAAGAAACAACGTGTATCCTCTTAGTCCTTTTTGTCTTGTTTGGTGTTTAGAGGTGTTGCTCCAGATGCACTCAGTGGGAATCTGTGGATCAGACGTGCACTACTGGCAGAATGGCCGAATTGGGGACTTTGTGCTGAAAAAGCCAATGGTGCTGGGCCACGAAGCTGCAGGGCGAGTGGTGAAGGTCGGATCAGCAGTCACACACCTTAAACCAGGTGAAACTGCATTAATGTCAATCAATGAGTCACATGATATAAAGGCACCGTTTGCTCTCCAAATTAAACCTATTCTACATTTCTATTTAACACTACATCTTAAATGTATGCTATTTAAAGACAGGTATTTATAATCCTTCTAACAGTTTGTACAATTTTTTTTTACTGCTCTCCAAACAGCATGTTTATCTTTTATTATACTCTTATCAATTCGCATATTGATAGCTGCATGACAAGTGAAATTGTGACAGGTGATAGGGTGGCCATTGAGCCTGGTGTGCCCCGCGACATGGATGAATTCTTCAAGAGAGGACAGTACAACTTGTCCCCCACCATCTTCTTCTGCGCCACGCCGCCTGACGATGGAAACCTGTGCAGATATTACACACACAGCGCCAACTTCTGCTACAAGTATGTGCTCTTTCGTTACAAAACCTCGCATCAAAGATTACCTCATAACTGATCGGTAGCTGACTCTGTTGCATAATCTCTGCATATGCTTGCAGTCTTATCTGTTTCTCTGTGTGTCTGCACAGGTTGCCTGATAATGTCACTTTTGAGGAGGGGGCGCTCATCGAACCTCTCTCTGTGGGGATTCATGCCTGTCGCCGGGCCGGCGTCACCCTCGGCAGCACCGTGCTCATCTGTGGTGCAGGTGAAATTTAGAATCAGCCATTATTATTGCAAACTTTTGTAGTAAAATTCCACCGACGAGAAACCGCCGTGGAATGATGCAAACGGACCATCCCAACATGCCTGTTCAGGTTAGGAGTTTTATTAGCACATCCAGATGACACAACAAAAGTTAGGAGAAGTAGAAAACGTTGAACCTTAAAATACTGCAAGGGGATTTTTCTTCAGTATTAAAGAAACTAGATAATGACATACACTACATTAAAAAATATATACCGGTGACTCTTTTCCCTTATTGTCTGGCATTAAATCAGACTAATCCTTTCCTATATGATAAATGCCAAAATAATGAATGACATATTATTTTGAACGTTTTTTTGTTTTAACTTCTTCAGATTCAGACATTTACATACATCTTCTTAGAATATGACAAAATGTGGTCTTTCATTTTGGGTATTCTTTTATCAGCGCTTTTTAATAGCTACAGTATGTGGAGATTTGGCAGAACCAGTCTCCTTCGTTGTCTGGACATCCCAGTAATTTTATACTATATCATTTTTTGAAGAGATGAATGTAGTACTATTAGGCATCTGGATATTGTACCAAAGGAGGAACCAGGCTTTTGCAGGTTACAAGTGTTCAGTAAAGAATTTTTTAAAATTTACAATCTGGAAAGCCCCAACAAAATGACGTCATCATTTTTGATTTTCACAATTTTTGAAAAATACAGAAATCTTTGTTTATTTGAACTCCTGATTTTGAGGAAAGTGTCAGAATATTGAAATATTCCTCTTATTAGTGTGGCATTTAGCAACAGAAATAATTTTAGCAATCCTAGCTAACCTAAGAAGGAAAGGTTTAGTCTGATTTATTTTGTAAGTGGAACAAGAAAAGGTCATACACCTTTTATATGCTGCATGTAAAATCTGGTTTGTAACTGTACTTGATGCTATCTTACAAAATAAAGCTCATAAACATTTAGACATGTTTTAACTTGGCAGAGTCATTATGTCTCCTTTCCTATAGGACCCATTGGATTGGTCAGCTTGATTGTAGCCAAGGCAATGGGGGCCTCAAAAGTCATCATCACTGGTAACAACAACCCAAACGGATTCAGTAAATTTCTGAAAAAAATGGTAAAATTCCTCAGAACTGCTTTTGAACAGCCACGGCTGTGTTTAGATCTGTTTGCAGAGCGCCTGGCCATGGCCAAGGAGCTAGGTGCAGACTTCCAGCTGACTGTGAAGAAGGACGACGGAGCGCAGCAGTTGGCAAAGAAAGTCGAGGAAATCCTGGGAGCCCAGCCTCAAATCACCATTGAATGCACCGGAGCGGAGAGCTGCATCCAAACCGCCATTTATGTAAATAACCCTGCGGAATCATAAGTTATAACAACACAATCAAATCTGAAGGGAGAACAAAAATAGTGCAAACTTTCTTATCACTATCTGACATGGACCAACAGATAAGATTTCATTTGACCTACTTGTGTTGTGGAGACCTTATTCTAGTTTAATTTCAGATCAGAACTAAAACATTTAACTTAAGATTGAAATTGACCCGGAAACTCGGCATTTCACCCCATGTCACTCTTTGAAAGTTAAAATGTTAAATATCAGCCAACCATGATATGAAATGTCCTCCTCACTGTCTATTGTCTGCTTTTATCTGCTCAGCTTTGAGATACAAATACCACATGACTTTGATGTCATTTGGTCCATAAAATAATTCAATGAAATTTCCTGTTAGGCCACATGTTCAGGCGGTGTGGTGATGCTGGTGGGCCTTGGTGCTGCGATGACGACCGTTCCCCTGGTCAATGCTGCTGTGAGAGAAGTGGACATCAGAGGAGTCTTCCGCTACTGCAACACGTGAGAAAATATTTACTGCTTCTCTTCTCCTGTAAATAATAATGTATAGTGCAGGAAGAATTGGCCCACCTTTGGTCCAAGATTACTAGCTGGAGTCAGAGAGAAACGAACATTCATGTGGTTTTGTTGCAGCTGGCCGATGGCAATCGCCATGTTGTCATCTGGTAAAGTGAATGTGAAGCCCCTTGTGACCCACCGCTTTCCACTGGAGCAGGCAGCGCAGGCCTTCGAGACCACGCATCAGGGTCGTGGGATAAAGGTCATGTTAAAGTGCGACAAAAACGACCAGAACCCTTGAACCGGCCCCCCTTCGGCGAAGCATTCTGCTGAGATCGACTGAGCATGACAGGCACAAAGAGGACTCTGGCCTCAGAAAGATAACAAAACAACTTCAAAGAAAGAAGCGTTAAACGCAGCACTGTGAACGACAGCTGGAAACTGTTTATCAGATGTTTATCTTTACATGGTACTGGTTAATTATAGGTGCTCAGGCCTCTGACAGCTGCATCTATGTATGAATAATTTACAAAATGTAATATGCTATTGTAGAATAATAACCTTTTAAAAAATAAATGCAAGTTTCTGTGTAACATGTACTACTAGTATTTCGGCAATAGAGGGCACCATAGGCTTAGAAAATAATGATTAGACAACAATAGTACCAGGAAGTCGTTACTAATTGTAATAAATCTGTGAATTTAGAGCAGCAGGATCGTGTTAATGATGCAAGAATATCTGTTTTTTTTAAGTAGTCAAGGCAAAAAGTTTGAACATAAACAGCATTTGTGATGCTCTTTTACAGTGCCTGAGCTTTTTTATATCTACAAGAAAAAAGTAAAAAGTTTATCATTTGAAGATGCTTTAGAAAGAAAATGCAAGCATTTTAGGACTGAAAAATTATGAAAATAAAAAAAAACCAACAAGTAACTTTTATGGAGGGACTATCTCATTTCATTGATCCTATACATTTTAAAAAATTGGTCAAATATTTTTATTTTCCCCTATTTTTACGACCTTCTTTTGTTTGAAGCTCCAAGGCTGAATAAACAAACTCACCGTAGAAATGATTACTTTGCAGTGTTTAGGGAACTAGTTGGCAAACGGTAAATAAAAGCTTGCACTCATGGACAGTTTAACATACACTCAGATTCAATATAGACTCCTCTTATTTACTTGAGCACATGTAATTCGCCTAAGTCAACATTTGAAGGTGGGTGGGAATCAAGAAGCAAAACAGAATGTAATGTGTAAATTATCCATCCACAATTCTGAGACTACATGTATTAATATACATAGCTTTTATTCTCACTTTGCACTAAGTGTATTGCTAATAGTTTTCACATCTCGTTTTTCCAGCTATACATTGTGTATACAGTGAAGAACAAAATTTAGATGTAAAAATATTTAAAATGTTTGGAGTCTTTGATATTACTTTCAGTCAAAAGAAACATTCTTGGTAAAATTAAAAGACATCTTAACTATAGGTACTAAGTAGAAGGTTAAAGCCCAGAATTATGTCTTTCTATTGTTTCTCTTCACCTTAATATCTTTGCATTTTAAAGATTCATTGTCTATTAAGTTATCACTATCATTATTATTTCACATGGTCTACTTTATGATTTTCTAAGCTTTGCTTTTTTGTTGTCCATGAGTTCTTCTGACATTTTTCTGCTTTGTAAAATACTCTGATGGAAGTCAGTTTAATAATAAATTAGATGCATGTCCTACCCAGTCAATTTAACAAAAATATATTAACACAAATGCAAGCCAATATGTTTGGAATCAATTTTTCCCCCCCTCTTCTAACATAGGATTATTTTGATTTAATTTTAGAAGGTTTTGGTTATGACTTTCCCCAAGGTCTTGACTAAGTGGCACATTCTATTAATGCTATTAAAAGTTGTTGGAATCTATACATATATTGTTTATTGGCAGCATCAATTGTTGTCATCATTTAATTATTATCATGACAACAATTAAAAACAATAATGAAATCTTTAGTGCGTTTCATTCAATAAAATAAATAAATGAATAAATCTAGGTTTAGCTCAGTATTTTATTGTTTTGCCACAATGACATGAGAAACTACTTTTACGAGGCATGCACACAGATAATGTCATACGGATAAAATTTACTACAACGCGTTGATAAACCGTTACTCCATGGCAAGAGCTTTTTTTTTCCTGTCGGCATGTGATTCATGTCTCTCCGTTTCGCTTGGTTTCCCCTGAAGCCTGGAGTCCAACGTAAAGTCTGGTGGATGTTTGCAGAGGCTTTGTGTGTTTTGTTCCTTAACGTGAGCACAACACTAGACAATTTTTTTTATTTTTTATGTACAGACATTCTAATACTGCGGATGGCAATGAGACAGCTCACACAACATTTACATTCACGGTCCACTCATTAGTAAGCATGAGCTTCAGTCAGAACTGATGAGCATACAGGAGGTGAGCGCACCAACAAAACAACGTCATTCGTACATGTGACCTCATATCAAAAGCAAAATGAACGCGGTTTCAAACATTTTTGTTGGTGAAATGTACATGTAGTTTAAAAAAAGACTTTTTTTTTTTTTTTTTTTTTCCTCGAGTGTAATTTTGTGTATTGCCTTGAAATTAAACAGGATATGGCGTTTCTCCCGTAAACCTCTGCTGGGAGCATCGGTTTGATTCACATGTACAGTACATTAGCTTGGCATATTCAAACACATAAATCCTCAGCCTTTTCGCTGGAAACTAAACATGATATCTCAGATGTATTTGTGCCTTTGCCACCATTGTGGTCTGACTCCATCTCCGGAAATATTTACAGTGCAGATGCTGGCTCTGCTGTCGCCACGGCAGCCGCCTTCCCTCGCAAAATTTGCAAGTTGTGTATTTACATGGGAAACAAATTATCAGCGGAACCATACAAAAAATGTTTAGGATGACTATATTGCATTATATGGATAAAAAATTATAATATATTGTGGCACATTCAAGCAGTAACTTTGCCTGCACTGTTTCACTGGAGGGACAAAAAAGAATCACAAACAGGACAAATAAATAAATAAATAAACACGCACACATGCTTCCTCTTCAGCTGATCAGAAGGATGAGAAAATCTGTAGTTAAATAGCAGTTGCATGTTAATCACAGACAAGTGAGAGATGACAAAGAATTGAAGTCTTCAGCCCAAACAGTTCAAAATTTGGGAAAAAAGGAATCAGTGGGGAGGCGCGATCGTCCTCATGGTGGCTAATCTGCTAGTAGTTTTCGCTGCAAGATAAATCAACGACTTCCTGTCCTTGGTGGACATGAATCTCAGCTGCTCATATGTACATGGGCGTCTCTTGTCCTGTGAGAAGCCTGAACATGGCCGCCGGCATCGTCTTCATGTGGATCTAGAGGGATAAGGCACACAGCGATGAGTTTGGACCAACAGCAACATGTTTTAGCTACATGCTAATCACTTCTTCCCTCCATTTTGTACATTTGGAGTTTTGATACAAAGTGGAGCCATTTACCACAACACGTTTTGTACCAACTGTTTGTCCATTCAGGCACTGTAGTTTTGTGTCTCCACTGACAATCAGTGATTTAAAGTAATCTTCTGTAATGTACATTCATATACTATAATAAAGACATGATGAAAATAAAAACTGAAGTGCAAACATGTATGAACACTCTCCTTTTGTGGAAGAATAAGTATGCATTTATATGCATTTAGCAAATTGTTTATTTAGAAACTGTGGCCCTTTTTGGCCCTCTATATTAAATAAGAGCATATCTTGTATACTCTTCCTTACTACAGGATATTCTCCTGAAAATGATCTTCCAAATATACCGCAGCAGCTGAGCTAAAACTGCATGTGGAAGTTATAATCCTTTTCTGCATGTGTTTGTGTATCAGTTTAACCTCGCCAACTGAGTTGGAGAGCGCCTGAACAATCTTCTCGTGCGCCGTGGCCACCACACTCTGGCCGTTGATCTCTATGATCCTGTGACCCACACGGACCCCGCCTCGCTCAGCGATGCCTCCCCGCATCAGGCTGCATATCTTCAGGACAGAGCACATGCAAGAAAATTCGTCGTAAGTAAAATGCAGAAGGCAGAAACAGAGCAATTGCAAAACCGGGTGTGCTTCTACAATGTATCAGATACAAAAAGTGAGATAATAGCAGGTACCTCTGCTTACAGTGTAAGCATTTTACATGCAGGGATATAATATGAAAATGTGTAAACATTGTGAGAACTCACTATGCCATTCTGGACGCTGAAACCCAGCTGATACTTCAAGTCTGGTCTCTTGATGAGCACCATGGTAACCGGAGGACAGCTGACAATGTTCATTTTCACCTGGACCTGATTCTTTAAGCCCTTTATCCAAGAAACACGCAAACATGAATGCTTATTTGTCTTATTGAAAGTCTATTTTAGACAACGTAAGAAGTGCCTTGCACCTTAATGATTCCCTGACAGGTGGCGAGTGGCAGCCCCACGAGGCTGGTGTTGTTGATGGACATGATCTGGTCTCCGATGCTGAGCTTGCCGGAGCGAGCTGCTGGACCGCCGTTCATCATGTTGGCCAGGATAACAGTTGGCAGAATGGACCCCCAGCCGGACTCCACGATCACCACACCCAAGATCTCCCCTTTACTCTTCTCCAACACCAGCTGTGGAAAGGCGACGCTTTGGTAAATTTCCTGGCTTCACTGGGAGCACAAACGTATCTCTGCCAATTAAAACTAGATCACAGAAGCTCACAGAGAGTTGAGCAACTTTTGTTAGATTGTATATCTGATCACAGACTCATTAAAAGTAAGCTAATTGCCTGCTGGGTTTTTTTTCCTCATCATCAGAAATTTGCAGGAGTTATCACAGCTTCAGGTCTTTTACCAACAATTCATGTAAAAATGTGAGAAGAACTCATTAATGTGCACGGCAACAGACAACTGATATTTCCAAGCTCACTTTCAGGAATTAGAGCTGGGAGTTTTGGTAAAACAACAAAGCTCCGAGCTGAAATGATAAAACAGCGATTTAGCAATACCCTTTATTCTGCAGAGGATTAATATCTCTGGTTACATAAGACTGTTGCTGGTGAGGTTCCAAATCAGTGCCCTGCACATTGGATTTATAAAAATGTTGCATTACTGCAGCGATGTACCTCAATCTCCTCAACTTGTTGGATTAGTTTGAATTGTGCTGGAAGCTGCTGTCTGGGAGGATTTATTTAGAAATGGATTCTCTCTTCTGACCCTTGAGCCAAAACACCAACATATAAATGCAAATAGGCATTTTGAAGTTTACTGCACATGAAAATATAAGTAGAAAAAGATTTATAACTTTGTCCGGTTTCATGTTTAGATTGATTTAGCATGTTTACACTTCTCCCCAGTGCAGAGCCAAGGCCCCCTTTACAATTAATACGATTTTGAATATATCTATATTATAAGTTTAATATTAGCAGATACATATATTCTGAGAGTTTTAGGTTTTAACGAGTTAAATGACATGGTGTTGCCATTATCTTAAAACCATTGAAGTAATTTCATCCTACTCCCATGCAACCAAAACAAACTATCAGGAGATTTATTAAACCTCATTGAATCTTGAAGATAATTACATAGAGTTTTAGTTATTTAGTATTTTTATTAAAGTACATAATGTATTTCTAGGGTACTTGATATATAACATGATGAAAATTAATTTACTGTGCAGCTTATTGTTCAGCCTTTGAAAGAGGATAACTGTTTGTTTGTGGTAAAATGTAGGAACATAATTGTGAATGCTTCGATGTTGTAGCATTTGAATACACAAATCTTAACACCGCATAGCATTACTGATAAGTGAGGTGAACAAGATGGATTATTTCATAACAGTGGCACATAGCTGTTGGGATTTATCAGGTAGTAAATATGTAATGGATTTTAACAAAATTGACAGGCAG